CCAGAGCCTTCCTGACCCCGCCTGGGGCTCTGGCTGTGTCCCTGGCTCTGGAGCCACCAAGGCTGCCTTTGTGCCCTTCCCGACTAGGCTCTTGCCAGAGTGTGGAACATGGCGTGACTCACCCCTAAGGCCCGCACGAAGTGTTTCTGCTCTGTTGCTGGGCAGTGCCCGTGTGCCCCCCACTTCCACAGTGTCAATGCCAGCAGCCTGTGCTCAGAGGTGTTGGGGCCCGCAGCAGTGAGGCTTTGTGGGGCTGCAGGGCGGGGCGCTCAAGCGGGCACTCTAAACCCATGCCCACTGAGCACCCTTGACCGTGGCACCCTTCTCTCCAGGACTGTCGGCACTGCTGCCTATGGGAAGGTGCCTGGGGGGACCCCTCGCCACACCTGTGGCTCTTTTTCACGAGGGGCCATGGGGGTGCAGACTGAGTCTCTGGGCTGCGTGCCGGCTCTGGGCCTGGATCCGGGCGCCACTGTAGGGCGGCGGTACCAGGCCCGCTTGTCCATAGCACGGCCTCGCCCGCAGCCCGCAGCCCGCAGCCCACAGCCCCTACCAGGCCTCGGAGGCTTGGGACCACTTGGCCACACACGTGGGGTCTGCCTCTTGGACTCGGCTGTTCATGTCCATCCACAATCTGGCTCCAGGAGGGGTGTGACTTGGCTGAGGTCACAAAGTTGGTCAGTGGCAGAGTTGGGGCTGAGACGCACCCCCTCCCCCAAGCGTGGGGCCTTCTCCAGCACCCAGGGCACTCGTCTGCAGTGTGATGACACCAGAGCTCACGCCTCCAGGAGCCCCCTTCCCGTGCTGGTGTCAGCCCTGACCCCAGCTCAGGCCTCCAGGTCCCAGGCGGTTCCTGCTGCCCCAGGGCAGCCAGCACGAGCCTCTCTGGGCTCTGTAGTCATGGGCTGTAACAGCCACAGATCCCATGAGTCCCAGTGCTGAGCTTGATGCGGTCACTTGGTGCATGAGCGGTGTGTGGAAGCAGCAGAGGGACCCTGGCCCTGGCCACGTGAGTGACAGTGGTGTGACTTTCTCTTCCTCCTCCTCCCAGGCGATCGCCCCCCGATGGCCAGAGTTTCAGGAGCTTCTCCTTTGAGAAACCCCGGCTACACTCGCAGACCGACGCCTCGCAGGCCGACGCCTCGCAGGCCGGCACCTCGCAGGCCGGCGCCTCGCAGGCCGGCGCCTCGCAGGCCCGCGCCTCGCAGGCCGACGCTGGTGGGGAAGACTCTGATGAGGACTATGAGAAGGCAAGGCTTAGCGAGAGCCCAGATCCCAGCCATGGGTGGGCGGCCTCAGGGCAGCTGCAGGCCAGCATGGCCCCTCACTGGCCACCTGGAGCCAGGAGCCCCCAGGACCCTGGCATTGAGGGGATGGAACCTGGTGCAGAGCCTGAGATCTTGGCAGAGGCCGGCAGCCGGTGTGTGTGGGCGGGTGCTGGCAGGACCATCACTCGGATCTTGGCACTGACTACGATTGGCCTCTCTCCAGGTGCCACTGCCCAGCTCGGTCTTTATCAACACCACGGAATCCTTTGAAGTGGAGAGGTCAGTGTGAAGGCCTCTCTGCAAAGCCTGGTTTTTGCAGACGCAAGGTTCCTTGTCTCCCCATCCCCCAGCCCCCTGTCTTTCTGCCTTTCTGTTCCCCCCACTCACCTTGGTGCTGAGCTGTTGCGGGCACAGGTATACCGCTGAGTGCAGGAAGAACCTAGCGAAACAGCAGATGCCACCAGCTCAGTCCCCGTGTTGGCCGGCACCCTGGTGTGGCCCAGGGCTCTGCACGGGCTGGCCCTCACAGACCCCACTGCTCTCGGCACTCGAGGTGCAGGGTAGCGGGAGGACTAAAGCCACGCTGAGGAGGGGGCTGGAGGGTCCCCGAGAGCCGGCTGAGGATGGCTCAGCTGGTGACTGTCTTTTTTAGGCTATTCAAAACCACGAGTCCCCGGGGAGAGCCGCAGGACGGACTCTACTGCATCCGGAACTCCTCCACCAAGTCTGGGAAGGTAGGCACTGGGGAGGGTGCCCTGGCAGCCACTCTGCCGAGCAGAGGTCCCCAGGGGACAGCTGTGCTGCTGGGCTCTCCACACACCGGGCCGATAGGCGTGTACAAGACCTGACAATTCGTAGATCACATTCCCACACAGGCTCTTATTTGGCATCTCAGCTGAGTGCCATCCTTGGGGGCTCTGCCCGGCAGCCCCTCTCCCCATGTCTTCTCAAGAACTAAATGCCATTTTCATACTGGGGGCAGTGGCGGCCACCCTCCAACACTGGCAGACAGACCCAGGAAGGGAGGTCTGGGGAGGAAGGAGAGGCTGCTCAGGGTGGTCGGAATGGCAGGATTTCTGCCAACTCTGCCTCTGCTTCTCCAAGGGTGACTCGCGTGACCTCACTGAGCCTCGGTTTCCCCGTGTGTGTCAGGAGTGGTCCTAAGATAGACCAGGCACCTGCGACTGCCGTTTAAGTCTCATCAGAAGCCATCTGAGGGCAGGAGCCTCAGGGCGAGGGGCTGCCCTTCTTGACCTTGCTATCCACGTGCAGGGTGACCCCTCCTTGAGTCACCTCAGAGGGCCACAGGACCCAGCCTTGACGCTGCCCTCGGTCCCCAAGGCGTGGCCCCCCAAGGTCAGTGCCGCTCCCAGCCTGTCCTCCACTGCTTCCCGCTTTTGTCCCTGCAGGTTCTGGTCGTCTGGGACGAAGCCTGCAGCAAAGTCAGGAACTACCGCATCTTTGAGAAGGTGAACGGGCTGCCCTGCCTGAGGGCCCTGGGCAGGAGGGGACCCTGGCCCGGGGTGTGGCAGGGGGCAGGACAGAGCCTTGCTAATAGAGCAGTGGATGGGCTGAGATTGGCACCTCTGGACACCCTCCCCTGCCTTCCCCTCTCCCACTGCCTCAGCCTCCCCCATTTCTTTGCCTAGCTCTGTCCTCAGCTGACCCTGGAGAGGGTGGGTGATCAGCCCTCCATCCTGGGTTGATTTCTATACCAGGCCTGCATCCTCTGGGCAGAGCTGTGGGGGGAAGGCTGGAACTTGGTTGAGGTAGGCACGGAGCGAGCATGGGGCAGCAGGAGCAGGCTTGACTGTCGTTAGAGCTGACTGTCCTATTTCATAGGGTGGGGCAGGCTGGCCTGGTCCCCCTGACATTTGCCCCCCTTACTCCCCAGGACTCTAAATTCTACCTGGAGAGCGAGGTCCTGTTCGTGAGCGTGGGCAGCCTGGTGGAGCACTATCACACCCACCTACTGCCCAGCCACCAGAGCCTGCTGCTGCAGCACCCCTATGGCTATGCCGGGCCCAGGTGACAACTGCACCTTATGCTACTTGGTAGAGGCGACTGCAGGACATTACCCCAGGCCACACAGAGGACACTGGCCTGCATTGTAGGAGGAGCAGGAGTGAGCACCCTGCTCTTACCTCAGGCCTCCCCCGACAGACACCTCGTGGCATCTGCCAGGCCAGGCCCCACCCAGCAGGCTGGGTCCTTGGGGCTAGGCCAGGCCCCAGAGGACTGGGAGGCTCTCCCATCCCACCCCACCTGGCCTGCCTCACCTCCCAGGAGCTGGAGGTCCCAGGACCGAGCCCTGCCTGGGCTTCGTGGACAGGAGTTCCGGTCCTCCCTCCAGCACACCCACCCTGCACTGGGCTGGGAGCTGGGCAGGGCTGGGATATCTGGGGTTGGGGCAGAGGCTGGCCCCAGGCCTCCCCGCCCCAGGACCGCCAAGACACAGGCTCCAGGAGGGGCCTATGCCTCATAATAAAGCACAGATGATGTTTGCCTCGGTGGCCAGGCCTCATTGAGTACCTGCTCTGACTTCCGAGAGATGACTTATCACAGCTCAGCTCATGGGAGCCCTAAGAAGTGGCCTCCCTGTCTAATGGCACAGGTCGATAAGTGGCCTGCCCCAGGGCAGAGCCAGTAACTCAGCAGGATGCAGACCCGAGCGGTCTGGGCTCAGAGCTCACACTCCCTAGCACCAGGTTCTGCTGCCACAGGTCAGGTCCAGGGCAGTGGGGCTGCAGAGCTTAAAGGCTCCTGCATCTCCACTTGCTGGATTAGCAAACGGTTACTGGGAGACATCTGGGCAGGAGGTGCACACAGCCTACGCTGTCCAGAGCAGCGGGATGTGCAGGGGCTCAGCTTGGAACCCAGCTGGGGCCTCCAGGAAGGCTTCTTGGAGGAAGTGACGACTACAGACAGGAGCAAGAAGAGCGGGCCTCGAGTAGGCGAAGAGTGGGCGGGGATGGTGGTGTCTAGATGCCAAGGCCCCAGCCACGCGGCTCAGACCCATCCCTGGGCAGCCGCTCCCTCTACCGTGGATTCCAGTGGTCCTCCTGCTACAGCCGCCCAGGCTGGGTTTCTCTGTGTGTGAGAAGGAGCCTCAGCTGGGGGTCAGGGCAGGCAGGGACGCCAGGGTCATCCTATCGTCACTGCACTATATGTTGGAAAAGAGGAATTTGCTGTGTGCAACCCAAACTGAGGACAGCACTTGTGCCCACCGGCCGGCCGTTAACTGTCCCCTGGAGAAGGCCCTTTGAGCTCTTCCCCACCCCCACCCCGGGCCACCCTGCGCATGTTCCGGGTGGGGTGGTTTGCTGGAGAAGAGGAAGAGATGAGGTGGGTCAGCTGACGTGGGAGGTCACACCCCCCAGATGCTATGGGGTGCAGTGGGGACCATGGCCATCTGCTTCCAAGAACCAAGTGACCAGTGCTGTCTGCAGACGCTTCCTCTTTAGCTTGCCCGGGGTGAGGGGTCAGTGCAGCCACAGTCGAGTCCGGGTCGCAGGGAGCTTCCGGTGTTGTGCGCCGTCTCCGGAAGACCAGCAATCCCTCTCTGCCATGGGCGTAATTCTGTGACCTCTGCTCTGAACTCGCTTGGGGAACCCAGCAAGGCGCACTTCTCCACTGTGGCTGTGGCTTCTCTTCCTGTACGATCTCTCAGTGGGGACTTGGCTCAGAGAAGCACTTCCATCCGCTGCCACTTCAGAGCCAGATCAGTGGCTGAAACATAGTTGAAGCCCTCTGAGCTGGAAGGTTGGAGGTTCTAGGGCCCAGAGACATGTGATTGGTCCTTCTGGCTGCCTAGACCGATGAGGCCTGTGGCTCCCCAGGGCGTAACCCTGGGTCCGGCCTGGCTTTCCCTCCTCTCAGGCCCTGGGACCACTGCCCCGACTGCTCCCTGCCTCTTTGTGAGCTGCCTCTGGGCCTGGGGCCGCAGCTGCGAGAGTGCGTGTGTTGGGTACATGGGATCCCAGGCATGGTCCAGCATGAAGGAGGGGCTGCAGGGCCCCACTCCCGACACCCACAGTGAACATTCTGTTCCTCGTAGAGGGTTAGAGGGTGCTTCCTCAGCACTTACTCTGTTTGAGGTGCTAAGCTGGATACCTGATGTAGTTTGGAGAAGCAGCTGCTATTCCATTTTACAGGTGAGAAAAATGAGCCTAAGGCTCGGATTCAGGTCCAAGCTCTGCCACTTATGCCGTGTGATCTGTCCTCTGCTGCTCTGAGCCTGCCTAGCTAACCCCTGCCTAGCTCCCTGCCACCCCTCACAGCCGCAGATATTATCGTGGGGGTGTCTAGGGAGTCTGCCTGCCAGGGTTGTAGGTGTGCCCTTACTCAGCTCAGGGGGCCATAGCTCTGGGGGAGGAACAGCTGACCTGCTTCAGTCTGGGGATAAACCTGCTCTAGGGGCTCTCCTGCTCCCTCACCTTATAGGGAAACAGGCTCAGAGAGGGTTCACTGACTTGCTTAGCATAGTGGTGCGTTCGGAGCTGGGTTCCGTTCCTGGGCTTGGGAAAAGGGCCACAGATGCGCTGGGAAGCTCCTCCGAGCAGGGGACTGATGTGCTCTCTTTCCTACGTTGCTCAGTTAGAGTGCAGGAAGCCTCTCTACCTCCTGTAAATAGGGGCTTTTATTATGAAAAGAGTTGTTTTTACAGCCCAATGAGACCTCACAAAACACGTCTGGAGGGCTCCCAGTCTCCAGTCCACCTCTGGGTCATGGTGTGTGGACGCCCCCTGCTGGTCTAAGAGGGAGCTATGAAAAGGCAGAGGGCTTAGGACCAAGGGGCTTCTCGCCCAGTGCCCACTCTGATCACTGGAGGAGAGGCCGAGAGAACACAGGCTGCACAGGAATATGGGGCAGAGCTGGCGCTTGAACCAACTCCGTGTTTAGAGGAGGGGCAGTGAACGGACAGCTACAGCCATGTCTGGTCGTGACTCAGCAGCACGGAGCCCCTCAGCGGGCAACTCAGATTCACACACAGGCCCCTCTCCGTGCTGGCACGTCCCGTCCCTCTGTCCAGAAGACTGCAGCGGCAGGTTGCAGCAGGCCATTTTTAGTTCACACCGGCATACTGAGCCAGCCTTCCTATGAACTAAGCACATGCCTTTTCCTCCTCTGTCACTGACACAGGGAATCCTCCTGAGATCATAGGTGTGAGCTGAGAGATCGATAGTGATGTGACAGTGGTAGGTGACATGGGGTCTGGACCACCTACCTCTGCACCTACAGGAACACCATCCTGGATCTGCTTCCAGGTTACAGTACATCTGACTTTACACCTCGGTAGTCTGACAGAACCAAGTGACTGGCAGTTCTAGCCTCAAGTCACTTTTGACGTTATATAAAAACATTCCATTTCTACCAGAGCCCAGTAGCAAGCCAGAGTCACTTTTTGAGTTGCTTGAATCTGGGTTTGTAGTTTTCATCAAAATTTTAAGAAATCAGCCATTATGTCTTCAAATAGTATTTCTGTCCTCGTCCCAAGCCCACCTCCATTTTCAGCGACTCCAATTACACATATACCAGGCCTCCCGGAGTCCTACATCTGGTGCTGTTCATTCTTTTCCACACTCCTTTCTCTCCATGTTTCATTTAATTTCTTTTTCCATGTCTTCTAGTTCACATTTTCTTCTGTTGTGTCCAGTCTGCTATTCACCCCAACCAGTGTAGTTTTCATTTTTCATTTCTGACATTGTTTTCATCTTTAGAAGTTCGATTTGGTCTTTAAATTTTTAAAATTTAGATTACAGTTGACATAATACTATGGTAGTTTCGGGTATACAACATGTAGGTTAGACATTTATATAACTTTTGAAGTGATCACCTCAATAAGTCTAGTATGCATCTGACACCACAAATAGTTATTACAATATTATTGACTATATGCTCTATCTGTACTTAACATCCCATGATGATTTCTTTTTTGTACCTTCATGTCTATGCTTAACATGCTCGATTATCTTCTACTTCTCCCTCCCTCCCTCCCTCCCTCCTTCAGCAATCCCTCACTGATACCTCTTGTGGGCCAGGTCTTGTTGCTGGGTGCCAGGAACCCAGAACGCTACAGAATTGTGGAGTCTTGTCCAGGAGACGTGCCCTGAGAGCAGCGGTCACTATTATCCGTAGATGATATCCCTGCCCCTTCTGCGCGCAAAGCCAGAGGCCCCTGCTGGGAGGGCAGGCCCGGGTTCCTCACTGTTCTTCCACTGCCCAGCTCTGGGCCTCAGCTTTCCATGGGTATGACGGGAACAAGAGCCTCTGCCAGTCCGCCTACTGGCCTTTTTGGGGGGCACAGATGAGACAATAGTAGGGACGGGGCGGAGGGGAGGGGGGAGCTGGTCTGGACTCTTGGCTAGCCTCCAGGTCATCGGGAGGTGACGTGGTCTCATCGACTTCCTGGCTGAGAAGGCGAGGCCAGGCCCGGGCACCAGGCAGCCGCCCTGTCTGTGGAGCCTTATCAGGGTCCACAGGCCCCGCTGCCCTGACCCCACCCTGGCTGCCGGCCCGGCCCCATACTGTGCCTGCCCGCCAGGGCTTCGGACAGAGCCCAGCACAGGGCCGGGCCCACGGGGGCAGCGTCTGTCTGCTGGAGGAGTGGGAGAGGCGGGCAGGGAGGCGGCCCAGAGCTCCGACTGACCCCGTTCGGACAGAAGCTCTGGCCGAGAGGAGCCATCAAGGAGACCGTTTAGGACGCCCTCCTGAGCATCGCGTGAACTGGGTCGCGGGAGGCCTCCGCCAAGGTGTGACCTGCGACCACCACCGACTGAACGGGCGGTTCCGGGCGAGCGGGCGTGGCTGGCACAGCCCACCCGGCCTCCTTCAGCGACGCCG